ATTTGGCTCTCTCAGGCTAGTATAAACATGCATTTACGCAGAGTGTCACATCAGTTTGTGAATTTCGTGTTTTTACTATTATTTTTGCACTTTTTGTTTGTGCCTAAATTTTAAAGGAAATATATGCATACATATATACAACGACGCTTTGTCGAATTTAGGCCGACATTTGTTTTCTTCTCTCACTCTTAGTTTTTTAATTTGCATTGAAAGCAACAACAATTTTGATTTTAAATTTCTTTTAGGCACAATAACTAACTCCTATAAGATAAACTCGAGTCTAAACATGCAGTTTTACTGAATTATTTTCTTACATCAATAGGTGTATTCTTTTGATATAAATGCTCAAATCGAACAACTTCTGGTTGCTTAATAATAACTTGGCATCAGTGCCTAAACCAGTAAAGAAATGGCAAGTAAAAAAATTTTAATCAAATTTGTGGTTGCTAAAAACATGTAAATACAAAAATACTTGCAGGTAGTTTCATAGAAAAGTTTTTTTAATAATGTCTTTTTATATATTTTATATCCGGCCACATGTCACTTTTTTTAAATTAAGCGTTTGTTTGAAATTTTTAATATATTTTATGTGTCTTATTATTAAAATTTATTGTAAATGTAAGTGATGCCAACTTAAAAGTTACAATTTGTCGCGCCATTCAGTGAAATTAATATTTTTTGTGATGCCATTTGTTTAAATTTTATATTATTTTTCAATACTACAAATAATTACATTACCATATGGTTTGTAAACTTGGGTAGAGGTCACGCAAAGTTGGTTACTTTTATTCAATGCATTTTGCTGTTGCATTCAAAAGCACTTAACCAAATAACCCGATATCCAGTGCCTCGTAAACACGCTTAATATAAAATGCTCACTAATAACTTGTTTGTGTCATTCATTTTATATATGTTGTTTAAAATCCTTTTACTTGTTATATCTTTACTGATTTTCGCAATGGTGCCAAGTTGTTATTAAGCAACCAGAAGTTGTACTACTGGAACATTCATATCAAAAGAATGTACTTATTGTAAATATTAACGAACAATGATTGCAAAAGTTATTCCATTGTTTATTGTGAATTATGACATGTTGTAGAAGCAGCATTGCGAACAGCTGTGAAAATTGACAGTATTTCTGGCCAAATAAAAAATACATAAAGTTATTTGACATTAGGTTTTAAACAAATTCCAAGTGAAGTAAAAAGTGCGTGAATTGAATTATATTGAATTGGTTTTAATTGATAAATAAATAGCAATATAAAGACTTGTATTTCGAAGTTAATAATATGTCGTAAGTAAATACAGCAGACACGACACTCTAAATAATAAGCGAACGTAAGAATCGCAATATTTGCATATGTAAAACTGTTCAACGTTTGTTTAAACCTTTTTCTGCATAAAACACATAAGAAAATGTTAAAAATTGTGCTATAATAAAAGTAAAGAACACATTAATATTTGTAGTTGCAAATCAGAGACAACGTGTCGAAATATGTGAAATATTTGTGCAAAATATTTTATTGTATGTGTTCTTAATGAAGATGAAAAGAAATTAAACTTTGTTTATAAATACATGCAATACAGTAAAATCTCAATAAACTTAAGTGAATTAATATTCTGTACAGCTTCACGGTAATAGTATGAACAACATGTGGGTTGCTGAAATTCTTATATATCTAACACAAAGGCAGCGGTATTGCGGTATGCTAAATTATTTCCATTATTGATACAACACACAAATGTTTGTGTGCGTATGTCACTTAACCATAAACGATATATTTGTTAAACAATCTAAATAAACATCTCATTGGCTTTCCTATTGTTTACACCCTAAACCCAATTTTACGGCTGGCAGTAAATGCATAAACCAACAACAGTTGCGAGAACTGTTCTGTGTGCTTGCTGTGAATGCCTTCATATTCTAATTGGAATTCAATGAAATTCTTACTTGAATTTGTTGTTGTGGAAACACAATTTGTTTAACATTTACTAATTAGGCTATATGCGGCGCTAGATTGCTTATCAAAATAAATTTTTATTGATATATGGTATATAAAATATGAAGTAGCTCCACAGTGGGCTTAGCATTGTAAAATTGATTTACAATACCGTAGACAATATAGGCAAATTTCCAGGCAATGTGTGAAATGAATAGCGAGTCGATTGTAGTGCTTGAGATCCTGGAGTTGAGATGTATAATTAATATACTTTCATAAATAGGTTAAGGAAAAAGTGTAGGTAATCGATTTAGTTAATACTACAAATTACTGCAGATAAATTGATCACATTCACCTATTAAGAGAGACACAGGGTAGGTTAGGTTATACCGACGATCCTAAGGATCCATTTTGGCCCATTGGCCAGTTGTGTTAGAGATACAGTTAAAGCAATAATGGACGTTCTGCTTGAGTGATACCTTAATCTGAAATGGTAGGAACTAGTAGCATACATACAGGGCAAATCTACTCCTCTAAGTACATAAATTATTCCTGTGTTGAGTGTCACTTAACATTTAATTAATTATTTTGTAATTTTCTTAGCTGTGTCTTCATTACATTACAAACAATCGGATGTAATAAAAAAAATGAACAATGAAGTCTACATTTTCATCCAAATATAACGACAATCATAAACACAAGGACGCTAAGATAGACAGTCTAGTTATAAAAGCTGATAAAAATTATACTCCAAACCACATTATGTGTAGGCAGTGTCCTGAACATCAAAGTAGTGGTCCTACAAAATCATATAAGGATTAACCAGAGTGCAGACATGAAGTAAATAAATTTCATTTTAATTTCAGTAATAATAGTAATAGTTAAAGTTTACTCCTTTTATCATTTTGCTAAACACCCAGAAATGACCTTTATTAGATTTATGAAACTATTTGCAATTTCTTTATATATGTATATAAAAAATATATTTTTTATAACAAAATAAATGTAATTTAAAATAAAAATGATTTCTTATTTGTATTTACACAATTGTTTGAAGTCAAGTTCTTATCATTTCCAAAATCTACCTTAATATCAGAACTAATAATCTTTTAAGAATGCATTGATTTAATTATTCTTTGCGATAACGATAGATTAAATATTGACTCTATTAAGTGACAACAACCTGTCTTAAATTGAAACAGACTAAGGCTCTAACACTACAAAAATTATTAATCTCTTTTATTTTTGTTATTGCCAAACGGGTCTCAGGGTTATGTGAGTGCCAATATAATTTTATACTTCATTTGTCTTTCAAAAATTATTTTACTTAATGACACATTATACAAGCAGTCAATTTTAAAAAAAAGTTCAGAATAACAATTCCACTTCATACATGTTATCCATCTGTGATATATAACATAGGTTTGTCTGGAGAATTTATGTTGTTTCTTTGAGATGAGTATATCTGTTTAAAATGATTATGAAAAATTTATCAGCTCTATTCTAAATTTCCGGGGAAAAAGTTAAGCTTGAGATTGACTACACAATCAAGTTTTGTATTAATACTTTATTCAGGTCTTAAAGCGCTTCTGATAAGTCCTAAAGCTTACATAGTTGTTTGTGCTCTCAGCATTGCAATTCAATTTCTGTTAGTATTTAGGATGTATCCAAAACTTGTATATCAATACAGAACGTGACATACTTTTGTTTACCCTATTTAGTTATTAAAACAAATTTATCCCAGTTTAATATTTTTAAACAATAAATAATTTATTTCTGCTAATTATTTTGTAGATGATATCGTAGTCAAATGTTTCTTAAAAAAGATTCACAACTATAATACCAAAAAGTTGAATGAATTCTTTCAACATTACGGGGTGTCAAACGAAACTATCTTAATTATATCTCAAAAATTTAAACAGTTTAAATCGTACATGTACCAGGTTTTACTCTATTTCTAAATTGACTCTAAATTGACGCTGAATGTTTATGTATTTGAAGGAATGCGAAAAGTAATAAGTTTTTATAGACTTTTACAATAGTTTTAGTAAAAAACTTTTTTTTAACAATTTTTTTTCCTTTTTCGTATATCAATACTTGGTTATCTTACAAAAATGTATCTTCCATCATACACCGTTTTATTTTAATTGCTCTCTTTAGCGAAATATATATATGTATATATATTTTTCTTTTTATACAAATAAAGATAACATTCTTGTAAAAAAATTTTATCAATCGAATTAATTTTAATATAAACATACAAACTTGCGCTTTGGATGAGATGTCGATAGTTAATCTAAAATAGGTTTCTAGTTATTGACATATACCTGACAACTGTAGGTTTTACAAATTGAACAAAACTGACATGACTTCATATAATGTAAATATGAATTAATGTATCATTTTAACTTTAATTAACTTTAACTTTTATGTATTATACTACGCGTAAGATATAACCCATTTACAAGTAGAAAGAAACAGAACAACTAACTCGTCTTGCTTATCCATTTATTACAACTGACAATCTGATATGGTACTATATTTTGGACAGTTAACCGGTGTAGGGTTGAATGGATTACTACTTTAGTTGTTTTTTTAAAGGCATATATCTATTACTCTATGGAAGAGCACATATATTAAACTACACGTATGACTACACTATTTATATTTAGAAAGAAACAGAGCAACTAGTTCGTCTTGCTCGCCCATTACTGTTCAGTACAATTGCAAATATTAACGTCGCACTTTATTTTAGACAGCTAGACCGATCGGTTAGAGGTTCGTTTTAACAATTACTATTATATTTGTTTATTGAAAGTATAAATTACTTTATGGTCTCCCTTAAGTGTTGCTGCGCTATTATTGGTATGGGCACTAAAGTCATTGCCTATTTCTTAGGCCGCTAAGATACAGTTACCTTCAGATACAGTTAATGTTTTTTTTTTTTAAATTGCGAATGTGCTTTTAAACTGTCTTATCACATATTACTCATTTCCTTCAGCGTAACCGAGATGTACTGCCACTGATATCTACAATCTATAAATTTGCATTTCTAATCCAAAAGTTTCAGTGAATTTTAATTACCTCTATGTGGCGCATAAACCATAGATAATTTTTTGCTTGTGCCGGCATAGTTTGTTTTATTGGGTTTTACTGTATTGCACATAGAATTGTAAATACTTTATCAATTTGAATGTGAGATATACATTTTAAAATATTATTTTACAGTGCCATTTAAAAAAAAAACATTTCTATTGAAATACTTCGTCAAATTTATAGCTCTTAGTCTTCCAAATCTATATACATATATATATATACATATACATACATAAATATGTATACGTATAAATACACAGTAAATAAAACGTGAAAGTGTTGATTATGTATAAAAAGTCATGAAACTGCAACGAACTGTTTACGCAATTTTAAAATAAAAAACTACAAAAATAAAATTGAAAATATTTATTTATTCCGACTGAAAGCAACAAAACAGAAGCATTTAGTCAAATGTACGGAAATGTTTGGTATAAATAAGCGAAAACCGAAGCAACGTCCAAGGTAGTTCCCAATAAACTGACTCCACAGCAAACATCAACAAAAATAATCCCAACGAACCACAGACGCTAAAGAACTTAGTCACAAAAAATAAAATAGACCGAGTAAAAAGTAAAAAAAAAAAAAACAGAAAAAAATACTAAGCAGCTCTCTCGCGTGGTCTAAACAATTCGTGCCACAAACCTAGCGGCATACGGCCCAACACACCAACGGCAAATATACAAAGCAAAAAATATTTCCATTCATTGCATGCTTCCCTGGCTTTTTGCTTTTTATACCATCATTTTTTCCCGTAATTTGTTCTCTACAATAACAACACCAACAACAACAACAACGACTACAGCCATACTAACAAATAAAAAAAATTTTAGTTCTGCTGTGCGCTCATATATTTCAACTATGTTAGCCGATAATGAATTACGTTTGCGAGATTTTGAAGAAGAGACCGATGATACCGACTCTGAGACTGAATTACTCATACGCCATAGTAGTTATTTACCTCGTCAGCAAGCAGCTCACGCAACAAGAGCACCATCGTCAAATCGTCGTTACAGTCGTCTCACGAGCGAACACCATAACAGCAACAGCAACAGCAACAGCAATAATCATAATCGGCGCACAACAGCCGCACAAGCAGCTACAACCGCAACAAGCTTTTTCAGTAATCTTTTTAGCGGCAAAGCGAATAGACTTGACCGGTCTGTAACCGGACAAGTACGTCTCAGAAATGAACGTAGTCGTGAGCGTGCAAGATACAATAGTAATACGTCGACGGAAAAAAAGAACGCTAACATTAAACTGGCGCAAACAGCAAACACGTATCGGAGTACCGTGGGATCGGGTGACTATATCGGTTCAATGGATGGTGATGTAATAAGTGCAACGAGCAGTGCTGTTGCCTCCGCGAACAGTGAAAACAGTAATGTCGGGTTACAAACAATAAGCGATCCTGAAAATGGTGCAACAACAGTGTTCTATCAAAAAAATCGACGTCGCAGCAAACAGAGATCGCTGGGAAATATATGCAAATTCTGCCTATGCAGGTAAGTTTATAAAAATATTTAATAATATTGTATATAGGATACTATATATCCATTCCATATTGAAAAAATAAGTCGAAACAAATTGAATGATTGTAGTTTGGAATTGATGAGAGTGCTAAACTATTGGTTCCAGCTCAGCTGTGAGTAATTGCAAGTGTGAGAAAATCAAATATTCCATAAAGACTGTATTCTTTGTTTTGTGAAATATATTTTTAATATATTATATTATATTATTATTATATATATTATTATATTATAATATAGTATATATGGTATAATATTATAATATTATATATATGTTAGCATATTTTTAATATATTATATTATATTATTATTAGTAACAGCAGTAGTAGTAACAGAGAATTATTAAAATCATTGACTACTATTACTGCCTCTAGAAGATTCTAGAAATGTATCCACACAAGAAATCAATTTGTTATTAAAAATATTGTTATCACAAAAATTAATAAAGAAACGCATTTAAGATTTATAGTGAAGTTACAGTAAGAACTATTGCGGGACTCCAAAAAAGTCATATATTAAGATATAACGTTTATATTATAGTTGCGATAATAGTAATTAAGAAGTATTAAAATTATTTAGTAATATTAACGATTTTAATATGGATTCTAAAAAAGTATAGAAAATCAATTTATTATTAAAATTATATTTATAACATGAGTATTTAAATTAAAAAATGCTAGTGAAAATATATTTTTTATTTCATTAAAAAAGTATATTTTATTATCAACAACATTTGGACTAAGGTCTATAGTTAACATCAGAGTACTGATATAATACCAAAGTCTATAGTACTGTAATACTTCAATACATACTGCAAAAAAATCGAATTATTGCTGTATTATATTATAAATATTGGTATTACCTATATCATTTCTCTGAAGATGGCTATCGACTATAGTCGAAATATTGGTAACAATAAAATATATTTTTTAAGAATAATTTAAAACGTTGTATTATTTAAACAATTGTCTAATTAGCCCGTTCTAAAATATATAAACAAAATGATTAATCCATATTAATCCGTTCTCTTTTTTCAATTATGCATATTCGTCCATCTGTTTGGTTCGGTAGTAAGTTCTGTTCTATTCCAGATGCTCGAGTTTCAATAATCTATTGGAAAACTACATGAAAAATTAAAAACTTAACAGTAACGGCAATGCTGTGTTATCTGATAACTCAACCTGAACCTGTGCTTCCTTTTGGTGATTACTGTAGTGTATTTTATACACTGAAAAAAAAAATTTAGGAGAAATATTGGAATAT